ACGCGATGAATTCAGCTATCTTGGCTGTTATTTGTTTGGCCTTTTCACTGTTCTGGGGCAGTTTCTCTTTCCTTTTTAAAAGTCTCTGAAAGTGTCGGTTGTTTCAGTGCCGTTACCTGAGTGGCCGCTGTGTACTCGTCGTGTTGTTGTTTGTGTTTGTTTCTCAGGTGGCGTATTAGATTGGTCGTGTTGAACGTAGCTCTGTTCTTTCCACCACGCGGAACCTCCGAGTTGCAAACATTGCATCTGGCTGTTACACTGCCTTCGCTTTCAATTTTATAATACTCCCAAACTCCTGACATTTTCTCTGTCCCGACTCCCGAGTCACCAGCTAAACGTAGCCTCTTGTTAGCTTACTGCTACTATTAGACACTGCGCCCACTCTGTTGCCAGATTTGAGAGAAATAAGCAACCAGGTCTATGAAAACAAGCCCAAAAGAAGCAACACATACATTATGTTGTGTAATTTTAAACCAAAACTAAGGCCTCAGGATGACTTTAAGACGTGAACATGGTCATTTTTGTAACATTAAATAAAAGAATACAAATATTTTATAAAAAAAAAAATTCCTGATCCCCGATTTTTTTCTCCCGATTCCGATCTTTTGAAAATCACGTGATCGACTCCGATCCCCGATCACGTGATCGGGACATCTCTATATGATAGTAATTACTTGTCTTTCAAATTTGAAGGAGGGTGAGCAACTATCTTGAGAACATTCATCATTATCTCCTCCAAAAAATATAGTTCATTTAATAATAACACTAAATATGTGAATCATAACAGTGATTGACAGCTGATTATATATATGAATAATATGATTGTTAATATTATCATATTCATACAGACAAACATCGATGAGACAGTTAATTAATGTACTTATTGCAGCAGTCTGCATAGATTTGGTACCCCTGCTGGTCTAAGAGTGAGACAAACTAATTCAGTTATTGTTCAGTTAAAATTCATTAAATGATGTCTGCCACCTTGTATATTTATATGTAAGGCTTTACTGATGTGCCACAATAATGTCACCTAATGTTATTGAGTTAAAATATCAATATTGTGGCTTTCCAAGTTAACATTGATTGATATGACTGCGATTAAATCAGCATATACTTCTGCCAGGGGATGCCACCCCTGAAATTCTCCTGCAACCCTCTTGCCACCCCATGAATATTTTTCTAGATCCACCCCTGAGTAACATTCTCAGAATGTTTTTAGAACCAACAATCTCTAGCTGGGAACTCAGACATGCCTACGCAAACATGCAATATCATGAATTACGTGCTTGTTTTGTTTTTTTAAAAGGAAAATGTGGTGACATCAGATTTGTTTTAAACATCCTTTTCAAACAAATGCAACAAGTTTGTTTTTTAAAGCGCATTACAAATAAATCTGACGTTGACCATGACCGTGTTAATATTTCTTATCACAGGAACATTTTATAAAAAAAGAATAACCTCCTGAAAACATTATCCAAATGTTGCTTTCAAAATGTTCTTCTTTGGTTATTATGTAACATTGAGGGAATGTTTTATAAAAGAACATCTTTAATGTGTTACCCCACAACGTCCAAAACACATCCTTAGAATGTTGCAGGCAAAACGTTCCACCTTTGTTAACATATCACATTAAAGGAACATTTTATAAAACACTTTCTTTCATCTCAGGCCTCAATAACATCCTGAAAACATTTTCAGAATGTTTCTTGGAGAATGTCCTTCATTTATTATCATGTAACATTGAGGGAACGTTTTATAAAGAACATCGTTAATCTGTTACCCAACAACGTCCAAAACACATCCTTAGAATGTTGCAGGCAAAACGTTCCACCTTTGTTAACATGTCACATTAAAGGAACGTTTTATAAAAAAACTTTCTGTCATCTCAGGCCTTAATAAGATCCTCAAAACATCCTCTGAATGTTGCAGTTAAAACGTTATGTCTTAGTTAACCTTAAACCTTATCGGAACATTATTTGAAAAAATAAACATCCTAAAAAGGTTCTTTGGACATCAGATTAAAACGTTTCTTTAAAACCTTATAAGAACCTGTAGGTAACGTTAGCCAAAGTTGTGAGAACGTTCCCCGCTAGCTGGGTCCCCCCATGGCTCCTTATTATTACCATACTTTATTTATTTTAACTTTAATGGCCCTATACGGCATCATACATATAACACATAAGTAAAGCAGTGTTTTTAGGAAAGAAGGAAAAAGAAGAGGGTCTTTAGGAAAATAAAAGGGTTAACAACTACAGAATTGACGATTGTCTGCAACACCAGTATCATTGGAAAAACTGGGGAAAAGTACACCGTTACCTGCCTAATTAAAGTTGCCTTTGTATAGCATGTTGGTTTAATAAGTACAATTTCCATAAATCTGTATACTAATACTCAAAGTGTGTTTTTCCATTGTTCATTTTGCAACAAAAAAAGCACAGTTGTATGAAACACTCCAAATACCAACCACTGTGCAAAAAGGGATCAACACAAGTACATAAATACTACTTACTATACAGATACTCATACTAGCAATACAGAAATCGGCTCCAACGGGCCCCTGAAGTTGTGAGTTGTATCCACATTCATGAAATATGTCCCTTTGGAGTCAGTTATTCCAGACTGATGTTAACCATTTGTTATATCCCTCTTGTTACATGAAAGACAATCAATCATCATGAGCAAATAGCGACATGTTATGAAACTGAAAAAGTTGGAAATGGCGCAGTCATCGTATGCAGAGTGCACTTTGACTGGTCCAGATGCTGACTGCTGGAGTGGCTCATCACTTCTTCCTGACAGATGAGCGCTGTGTGTTGGCCATCAGCTCTCATGTGTGGAGGTCAGCCAGGATCGGGGTCAGGCTTTCTGCAGCGAACATCAGTTTCCTGAACATGTAGAGGGATTACATGTATTAACGTGGAGAGTGAGGTCATTCTCTGCTGCAGATGTAAAGTACATCTGCTGCCCACCCTCACTGTTATACACCAGGAGGCAGGAAACATCCCGACGGACTGGATTAGTGCAGGATTTCATGCTCTCCCTGTTTATGTTATGAATACTTTTCTTGTTGGGGGAAAACCACAGTGTGCTGCCCTGTTGGCTCTGCTCTCATTGAGTGCAGTTGTTGAGGTTTTAAGGTTTTCTGTATGGAAGCCCATTACCGGCAGTAAAAAAAAAGACAAGAGGATGAAGTTGAAAATGCTTGTTTATGAAGAAAAACTAATGACTTACATGTAGTATCTCAAAACTATGATTTAGTATCTGAAAAAATTACATATATCTCGAAGTTAGGACTTAGTATCTAAAAATAAAGACTTGGTATCTTAAAAAAAGACTTAGTAGTATAATGACTAAGTATCCCAAAATAGTGACTTAGTATTTGGAAATAATAATTTAGTATCTTAAAATAGTGACTTAGTACATCAACATGTTGACTTAGTATCTCAAAATAAATCCACTGTGAAACTGCACAGCACACTCACACAAAATTTGCATAAATTAAATCGATTTAAAAAAAAACTTTTCTTACCTCACAAACTGCTTCAAATCAGTGTGAAGTATGTTACTTGGACACGTTAACAACAACAAAAACAGACAGAAAACATTGCAATCATGAGCTTCTTTGTTAGTAGTAAGTGTGAGTTATTGCTTTATTTGTGCTCCTGTGTGTCTGGGAAACAGTTGGCCTCCAGCCTCTTCTGATTCTTGTCCCCCTGCTAACATTGCTAGTTGCTGCCCTCTGCTGTCCATCGGTCTCACAGCAATCTCAAATACCTGCACCACAACAAAAGTTCCAGCAAACTTCTTGAGACACATGCAACTGAAACTTTAAAGTGTCACATCCTCACAAACACACACATTTTCTTGGCTTTGATCTTATGCAATCATGGCATGCTTTGTCATGCTGCAGCAGAGATTATAAACCAGAGCAGCACTGACTTGTAATCCCACCTCTGATTCCCTGGTAGCCTGCAACAAGGAGTCTGCTGTAATCTGCTCAGATTACATGTTCAACAAAATAATACAAGGTCATAGATTTGAGAGAGAAATGTATTTTACTTTGTCCTGTTGTTGACAAAGTCTTATGCTAGCATGTTAGCATTTTTTCCCCAGTGGCATTTTAGCCCCGCTGTCCGGCCTCTATTTAGCCAGATGGCTTCCTCTGTCAATCCCCACTCACAATCAAGATTAAGATTACACCACACAAACATGCACTCAAATGCGTCCCATACACATTAATTAATATCCACTTTCAAGCAGATGATATAACACGGGGTCTGTCGCGGTTACAACTGAAGCTTAAGTTATTAAAGGGAACTGTTGATCGCAGAAATTCAAGGTTGGAGGAGTGGCGCGGATTAAAGTATTTTTACCACAAAGCCCTGTATACGCGGTGCTCATCTGAAACCGAGAGGTGAGAGACAGAAGCGAGGGAGGAGGGAGGACAGTATAGGGAGACATATTGAAGAGGATAGAGAGGGAGAAAGACTTGCGGTTTCCAGGCTTGTTTAGTGCTTCTCCGTTTGTAAAGCAACCAGTAGCTTCGACTTTCCCTTCTTCTGAGGCCTCGGAGGCGCTTGTTTTTCCAGGCCTCGGGGCCGCCCAGCATGAAGCGGGCACCATGGGCTTTCTGGAAAACTACCAGGAGATCGACCCTGTCACTTTGAACCTTTGTATCCTGATTGCCAGCTACGTTATCTTGCTCCTCGTCTTCCTGATATCGTGTATCATGTACGACTGCCGGGGCAAAGATCCCTCTAAAGAGTACGCCCCGGACCCTCCGCCAGCTCAGTCTCCCATCAGGCTGGTGGTAATGCAGAGCTCACCGGCCCCGGTTGCAAGGTGGGACACGTCCAACATGATCACGACCTACCACGAGCCAACACATTCGGACTTTAGGGAGAAGAAGAGCACGATGGTCTGAGAGACTCTGCAGACCCACCTTTGTATATACTTGACTCTATTTTTTTTTTGTATATGTTTCTTTTTACTTGCTTCCTCTCTGAGACAATGCTAGGATTTGACCTACGCCGAACCAGTCTTGCACGGTAGGTAGACATGCGTTGATGTCTTTAAGTGCTGTGTGTTTGCATGTGAGATCCCTATCTATCTCAGGGATCTCAAGCCAAAGCCTGCAGTCTGCTTGCGAGAGGAAGTGTCACAACTGATAAAGCAGAAGGAATAAAGAGGGGGCTTTTCTGTTGTGTTGACAAAAAAGGGTTTAGGATTAAGGTAGGTGCTACGAAAACACACAGTGAAGTGTAGTATAGGACCAATTTAATTAGAGTCTTAACATCTGTGGTTCTTTTTAGATTTTAAACAAGATATTTTAAGACCAACAAGTGCCTTTAAGCGAGATCAATACTTGTCGCACCTTATTATCTTTGGACTTCATTCCTCTTTTACAAAATCATCCTATCTATTTCGCAATCAAGGGTGCATTGCTCTTTATTGGCAGCCATTCAGGGATTAGTGTCAACGTTTGGTTAAGTCTGTCAGTAACCCCTTACATAACTCGAGGAAGTGTGATGCATGGATGTGGTTGTCAAAGCGGCAGACAGATGAGTGAAAGCTCTCCTGACAGGTCTTGCTTAAACGTCTACTTTCTTATTTTGAGATGTATGTCTTAAATCACTCCACCCACACAACAGAAAGACGTTAAGACTCACATCCATTTAGCTCCCTGCTTTCTTGACACCATGACTGAACGTTTACCCGTTATCTGGAACATTACAATGGGAATGATGAGATGAACAGATAAACAGTGAAAGGAAAGCTTATATTGCTCTTATCAAATGCAGATATGGTTAATCAAGTCTGTGGAAACATGCAAACCGCATTTTGTGTAAATAAGCATGGAGCACATGATAACTGTTTGATAAGTAAACTGATTTGACGTGCATTTGTGTAACCCATCATTAAGTATTGAAAGGTATTTATTATGATGGATTGCTCCTCTTATTTAATATGTATTCTTCCAATGGCCTCCCCCGTGACTTCACTTTGATTATATCCGGCTAAACATTTATGCTTGGTAAGAAACTCTCCAAACAATTGTACGGGTCATTTATAGTAATAATATCTTCTGTGCAGTGCCATGAAGTAATCAGACTGATTAGCTGGCCTGTCCAAGGGTCTGAAATCAAAGTAGGGACATTTTCTCCTAGAAGCTGATTTACCCAATTTTCTGAATAACAGGACAGGGTGAAACCCGAAAGCCTGTCCAACTTTGATATCAACTAAAGACAAGTTTGCCAGGGTTCACTCAACAAGACATGGAGATAAGTCATTGAACCTGACTCTTGCAAAAAAGCCACCATTGGAGTTCTATTCAGATTAACATTTCCTGGAGAGAAAAACAATCCTATTGGTTGAGTTTGAACTCAGTTGATGTAGCCTAAGGTCCAACACATTATAAAATTAAAAAAGATGGAAGCCAATGTCTCTAAGATCTAGAGTGCAATTGCTGATCACTGAAAAAGCTTATTTCAAGGTATGAAAGTAACTCAAGGTAGCTTGTATGATATATTACGAAAAGTTATTTTGTTTTGCCTTTTTCCTAGAAATTTCCAGCTACAAGTTCTAGGAGAATGTCTTGTGTAGTGTCGTTTTTACACTTCACTTCTCCTGGCTCACAATTACACTGAACAAAAATATAAATGCAACACTTTTGTTTTTGCTCCCATTTTTCATGAGATGAACTCAAAGATCTAAAACATTTTCTATATACACAAAATAACCATTTCTCTCAAATATTGTTCACAAATCTGAAAAAATCTGTGATAGTGAGCACTTCTCCTTTGCCGAGATAATCCATCCCACCTCACAGGTGTGGCATATCAAGATGCTGATTAGACAGCATGATTATTGCACAGGTGTGCCTTAGGCTGGCCACAATAAAAGGCCACTCTGAAACGTGCAGTTTTGCTTTATTGGGGGGGTCCGAAAACCAGTCAGTATCTGGTGTGACCACCATTTGCCTCACGCAGTGCAACACATCTCCTTCGCATAGAGTTGATCAGGTTGTTGATTGTGGCCTGTGGAATGTTGGTCCACTCCTCTTCAATGGCTGTGCGAAGTTGCTGGATATTGGCAGGAACTGGAACACGCTGTCGTATACGCCGATCCAGAGCATCCCAAACATGCTCAATGGGTGACATGTCCGGTGAGTATGCTGGCCATGCAAGAACTGGGATGTTTTCAGTCTCCAGGAATTGTGTACAGATCCTTGCAACATGGGGCCGTGCATTATCATGCTGCAACATGAGATGATGGTCGTGGATGAATGGCACAACAATGGGCCTCAGGATCTCGTCACGGTATCTCTGTGCATTCACAATGCCATCAATAAAATGCACCTGTGTTCGTCGTCCATAACATACGCCTGCCCATACCATAACCCCACCACCACCATGGGCCACTCGATTCACAACATTGACATCAGAAAACCGCTCACCCACACGACGCCACACACGCTGTCTGCCATCTGCCCTGAACAGTGAAAACCGGGATTCATCCGTGAAGAGAACACCTCTCCAACGTGCCAGACGCCATCGAATGTGAGCATTTGCCCACTCAAGTCGGTTACGACGACGAACTGGAGTCAGGTCGAGACCCCGATGAGGACGACGAGCATGCAGATGAACTTCCCTGAGACGGTTTCTGACAGTTTGTGCAGAAATTCTTTGGTTATGCAAACCGATTGTTGCAGCAGCTGTCCGAGTGGCTGGTCTCAGACGATCTTGGAGGTGAACATGCTGGATGTGGAGGTCCTGGGCTGGTTTGGTTACACGTGGTCTGCGGTTGTGAGGCCGGTTGGATGTACTGCCAAATTCTCTGAAACGCCTTTGGAGAAGGCTTATGGTAGATAAATGAACATTCAATTCACGGGCAACAGCTCTGGTGGACATTCCTGCTGTCAGCATGCCAATTGCACGCTCCCTCAAAACTTGCGACATCTGTGGCATTGTGCTGTGTGATAAAACTGAACATTTTAGAGTGGCCTTTTATTGTGGCCAGCCTAAGGCACACCTGTGCAATAATCATGCTGTCTAATCAGCATCTTGATATGCCACACCTGTGAGGTGGGATGGATTATCTCAACAAAGGAGAAGTGCTCACTATCACAGATTTTTTCAGATTTGTGAACTATATTTGAGAGAAATGGTTATTTTGTGTATATAGAAAATGTTTTAGATCTATGAGTTAATCTCATGAAAAATCGGAGCAAACACAAAAGTGTTGCATTTATATTTTTGTTCAGTGTCATTGTGAGCCAGGAGAAGTGAAGTGTAAAAACGACACTACACAAGACATTCTCCTAGAACTTGTAGCTGGACATTTCTAGGAAAAACGCAAAACAAAATAACTTTTCGTAATATATCATACAAGCTACCTTGAGTTACTTTCATACCTTGAAATAAGGTTTTTCAGTGATCAGCAATTGCACTCTAGATCTTAGAGACATTGGCTTCCAGCTTTTTTAATTTTATAATGTGTTGGACCTTAGGCTACATCAACTGAGTTCAAACTCAACCAATAGGATTGTTTTTCTCTCCAGGAAATGTTAATCTGAATAGAACTCCAATGGTGGCTTTTTTTCCAAGAGTCAGGTTCAATGACTTATCTCCATGTCTTGTTGAGTGAACCCTGGCAAACTTGTCTTTAGTTGATATCAAAGTTGGACAGGCTTTCGGGTTTCACCCTGTCCTGTTATTCAGAAAATTGGGTAAATCAGCTTCTAGGAAAAAATGTCCCTACTTTGATTTCAGACCCTCGGACAGGCCAGCTAATCAGTCTGATTACTTCATGGCACTGCACAGAAGATGTTATTACTATAAATGACCCGTAAAATTGTTTGGAGAGTTTCTTACCAAGCATAAATGTTTAGCCGGATATAATCGAAGTGAAGTCACGGGGGAGGCCATTGGAAGAATACATATTAAATAAGAGGAGCAATCCATCATAATAAATACCTTTCAATGCTTAATGATGGGTTACACAGATGCACGTCAAATCAGTTTACTTATCAAACAGTTATCATGTGCTCCATGCTTATTTACACAAAATGCGGTTTGCATGTTTCCACAGACTTGATTAACCATATCTGCATTTGATAAGAGCAATATAAGCTTTCCTTTCACTGTTTATCTGTTCATCATTCCCATTGTAATGTTCCAGATAACGGGTAAACGTTCAACCATTGTGTCAAGAAAGCAGGGAGCTAAATGGATGTGTTGCATTTATATTTTTGTTCAGTGTACGTGGGTTTCATTGAAATTTAAGGTTGTAGGCCTATATGAAATATAGTGCATTACAATTACATTTACAAACAGTAAATGAGAACAGCGTGCTAACCAGCGGCGTAGCTGTGGGTGGGCCCGGGTGGGCCTGGGCCCACCCACATGCACGTCTGGCCCACCCACAGCCAATCAGCGCTTCATAGCGCAGAGCCGGGAAGCCCAGAAGGAAGTGCCACAAACTGCAGTTAATCTAGTGGCCGACAGGGGATGGATGCAAAAAGGAGCAATTCCCATAGACCCCCATGTTAAAATGCCCAACTTTACAGCAGAAATAAACATGTTTCTAGCCTGGATCCAATAAAACGTATTCTGGATATAGTTAGATTCCACCTTCATGACAATGGAATAGGGAGTGCATTTTTTTACCGTGAGTTTTTATAGTAAGTAGCCTAAAGTAACTTTCTCCGTGAGTGAATGAAAGTATTATTTCTTCTTGAGGTCTGCAGTTTAGAGTGTACACATTTGCTGAATATGAAAACACTCAGTGTGTGCCCACTGTGCGACTGTCAAGGATAAACAACCTGTGCCCCCGATATATGTTGTATGTATTATTGCTACACAAACATTACATTGCAGTTTAAGTGTCGCCAACTCCGTTTAAGAGATCTCTCCCCCGTCTGTGTGCGAGGGGGCGGGGCAGTTTACACACACGCAGCTGCTACATGCAGCAACACACACACACGGAGGAGATGGCGGAGAGAACGCGCTCCGAGGTGTGGTTAAACTATAGCCGTGTCGATGTGGAC